TGGCCTGCCGGACGGGACGGACCGCGGGACGGACAGCCCGGGCGGAATAGGGCGTGGGCAGCGGTCCCCCGGGCCCCCCGCGGCCCCCGGCTCGGCTCGGCACCAGCCCGCGGGCTCGGCTCAGCTCGGCCCCGCCCGGCTCGGCTCGGCTCACCTCGTAGGTCAGGTGGCGCCGGGTGGCGCCCACTTGAACTCTTTGATTGGTTCTGATGTGGATGACCCCTGTCCCATGTCCCGCTGCTGCTGCTGCTGCTGCTGCCGCCACCGCCGTCACGGGCGTGACTAGTGACTCACGTCCGCGGCCTGCGGCAGGCGCGCGCGGCGGGCACGCACCTGCACGCGCGCCTGGCCACCGAGGCGCCGGGGGGAAGTCCGGCGGCGCGGCCGTGCACGCCACTGGTCGCGCGGAGAGCACGCTCGCTGAAGGACGCGAGGGGGCGGTTGCGCGGCTGCCCGCCCCAGGGGGGGCTTCGCGGTTTGCCTACCTCCCGAGCTCGCCGGGCAGTCCTCGCTGTCTGTCTCTCTTCCCATTTTCGTGAAAGACCCTGACTGTGCCACCGCCGCTGGCTCCACTGGCCCCCGCCCGGCGGGCCAGCCGACAGTAAAGCGAGACAACACAGACGAGTAAATGGAGCTGCTCATCTCCGCGGTGTGGCGTGGCGTCGTGGCGGCAGCTGGAGCTGAGGCTGGAGCTGCCCCTGCCCCGCTCGACGTCAGCCTTCGCGAGCCGCGGCGTCGTCAGCGTGGAGTCCGCGGTCCCTGCTCGGGGTGGCCCTTAATCTATCAGTCACCGCAGACGCTTTCGAGAAACGATAATTCAGCTGTAGTTTCCAGTTTTCCGGCAATTGCGATACACCCACGGGAATCAGAATACAGTGCGATATCGTGAGTCCCGGTGGCTGTGTTCGCCGAACATCGCGCTTGTCCCCCCCCCCTCCCCCCGCTCTCTCATGATGGACCTCTCCGTCTTTTGTCGTCGCATTCATCTCGATAAGAACGTCAAAACAAAGGAAATCAGGTCTGGCATTCTCAATCAACACTCTGTATGGGAAAACACGTTCCTATTCCTGGTTGGCAACCGCGTCATTTTCAGCAGTTCCTGCACGGAAAAATGTAAGAAATCGAACTTGGCAGATGGTGGCAGCAAGGGGTAGCAACAACCCCGTGCGACACAGTCTCCCCTGAGTCCACTCGATCCTCCCCCAGCAGAGCCAACCCTTTTTCCCTCTAGGATAAAAGTCAGAGGAGCCGATACTGATCCGGCCGCTGCAGGCAGGTTGAGCTGCTCGGGGCATGGCAGCACCAACACGCTTCGCCGCGCCACGGGCCGACCATCCGAGTGGAAAGTCTCGAACTTTGAGATGTACAGCTGATAGTGCGCGAGCGTGTTTACTGTGAGCGCTGCGAGCAGACCGGCCCAGCCCGGCCGAAGGCCCGGCGCGGGCGGCGCGTCAACCTCTCGGGAGCGAGCGTGGGGACTTCCCTCATCGAACTGACAAACTACATGTGGAGAGTAATAAATTAAGGTCATTTTTTATTATTGCAGAGAGATGGTTGCATAGTGGTACGCATAGTCTGAGGATAAAAGTCTATTTATAAATCAAGTTTACCGTAAAACCAAAGACTCGTACAATTTAAATTTAAATAAAAACAAAAACATCCGGTACAGAAGTTTACATGTTGTAACAATACAAAGCAAAAATTCATACAGCTAACCGGACTTCACATTACTTGTTTTCACGATTCAAAGATAGAAATTACATTGAAGAAAATTATAGTTATGCTTACATACTGGCTGCTCATTAAGCAATCCATGTAAAAAAAATAACATTTTTTAAATATCAGCCAAGCACACATTATCCTAAACTTCTGTTGGTAATAACTTTGAATACCTACAATTTATTTATGATGAGCTTAATTTATTTTTATTATACTATCATTCATTCAAGAGTAAACTCTTGACTTTGATCCCCATCTGCATTGTCTGTCACCATCTGATCCCACATGACTTGCACCATTTCTACAGTTCCGTCATCATTAACTCTGGCAACATTTCCAACTGATCCTGCGGGAAGTTGACCGACCTCTTCTCCAGACATATCTACCACATGAACATACACATTTCCATCTTCAGCAGCTTCAATATGTTCACCAGTGGTTTCATCAGTGATTGGCATAACACACATAGCTTCACCCTCTACACCATCCACACCCTGCATGACCATGCCCGAAACATCTATGGTCATCTAGAAAAAAAAATAATGACAATTATTAAAAAATTACACATTTTGAAAAATGTAAGAATGTGTAACAACTTACTGTATCATGATTTTCAGTTCCCGTCAGGGCTGTAAGCTGGCCATCTTCCCCTTGTGTCATAACAATTGATGTAGTTCCATCTGTATTTTCAGCTTGTGATACTGATGCTATCACCATTGGACTGTTGCTATTAGTATGATTTTGAGCTACTTCATTATACTCATTAATTTCTGCAGCAATCATTTCTACAGTTTCTGCATCACCAGGATCCAATGTTTTAATTTTCATACTGCTATTTTCGTGAATATCATCTGTACTGTTCACAGATTCAGACTTGAAGCGCTTGAGAGTTTGTGTACTATCCACAGAATCTTCCTGTCCAGCAGGAGAAGGGTCTTTCTTCTTTGAATGTTGTTTGACATGATGAACCAAGAAGGCATTGTAGTCAGTTGTGTACTTGCACTTATTGCATTGCATCCATGTGTCTGACTTTGTATTCTTTTTCCCATCGCCAGAATTACATTCACCATCACTTTCGCCATCGGTGCTAATAGTTTTCCGTTTCTTAGTCTGCAAAATTTCATTCGAAAAATTACCTAATAGAAGTTACAGGAAAAAATACTGAAGAGTAACATAATTCAAAAGAAAGATTAACTTACCACATCAGATTTTTGCTCTTTACCTACATTTTAGAAGACAAAAGAATTTACAAAATAAGTTAGTGATTTCTTTACAGGTGACTAGGACATATAGATACTGAACTTTTGTGGAGTGTACAAGATTATTTTTACAATAATAAGATTAAAGCATACTATTCACGTACTAGGATTTGTTGAAGGTGTGATCTGGGGAGGTGGAGCCGGTGCACCTGTGGGCTTGCTGTTAACCAGCTCTCCCTCCTCAAGGGCATACTTCTTTTCTAGGAACCGTAGTACAACACCACGAACTGATCCCATTTCAGTTTCTAGGCGATCGAGTGTATTTATGAGAGTTGCACATCCCCGGCATATAATATCATCCTCTGATATAACAACCATATACCTGGAGAAAAGAAACACAAAATGTTTCATGTTAATAAAAGCACTAAATAAATTTAGAGATTATAAAAATAGAGATTTGAATAAAGAAATAACATCATGTCCGGGTTACAATACCTTTCTCCAACCAGTTGACCTAACTTTTCAATTAATCTAACTTTAGTGCTTTGAGTTCGGCATGTTGCGAGAGTATAGTAACGACCTGAGACAGCAACATCACAAACAAAGCAGTGTAGATCTTGCCCAGGTAGAACTGTTCCTGTGTGCGTCACTGCAGTTGTCATTTTAGCTGCAAATGAAAGCATATAAAATCTTCATTTAATAGAAAATTTGTCAAATAAAACAGCGTTAGGTAAAATCTAGCAAGAAGAAAACATTAAGTCGTTCTTATCAACGAAAAAATTGAATTGGAATTGCTGTCAAATAAGACAGTAGTAGCACAAAATCCCCTTCAAAAGTATGAGAGCAAATATCACGTAAATTTAATTTAAAAAACAGCAGACTTTGTTTATACATGCTTTAAATACAAATTAGGAAAATAAACAACCTATCTGAACCTGTCTGAGAAACTGGACCAGATTACTCTGTACGAAAAATTAAAATACGGGAGAAGGTACGAAGATAATGAAATTTGAACGAATGCAGAGAGTCCAGCTGGTTGTGGATAAATATCATACCGTTCTTTGAAGCCAAAGTAAATAAAGCCACAAATTTCAAATGCCGCGTTCGCGTTTGTCGGCTCGGCCGAAGGACTCGAAATGATATCGAGTAGACGCTCCGCCTTTACTAACGTCGAATTCAGCAGCATCAGCTTCATCAGAATAGTTAAAAATGTATTTTTTTAAGGTTTTAGATGCCTCTTGAAAGTAATTTATGAGCCAAAGAGCGTCGCAATTTACTTTATGATTTCGAAATTGAAATATTACAGCTGGCTCACCCTTTTGCTCCCCTTTTCCATCACAATTCAGTGGCGTCATCAGCTTTTCCTTTCTGCTTCGACGACGCCGTGCTGCTACTTGCAGTCAGTGTCCAGTACGCCGTGCAGAAAATCTAAACAACACCGATGGATCTGGATTGAGGCAACTTATCTAATTTTCCGTCTTGATTGACATGGTTTAACAGTGTTGTGTTCATCGTTGCGTGTACAAAAAGCCAACAAGTTCGTGTATTTTAAAGAATTTCACCATGGACCCTTTATAAAAAGTAAGCACTGGGAAACGTTACCGAAGCGCAGTGTTGGCTCGCGACCCCGGGCCCCCGAGTGGAAAAGATTTCCCTGTGGCATGATTTGTGAGGTGGAAGGAGCTAATCTCTTTTGCGCTCTTAATTAGTCTTTTTCTTACCATGAACGTTATATACTCTTGTCGACCACTCTACTTTACCTCGCAGGAAGTATCTTTAGGCTATATAAACTCAGCTTCAAAGGGGCTCCGTCAGCCGCATAACCTCTCTGCTCCAAAAGTCCAAAATCAAAATGTGTAATTATTCGCAGTCTGTATGTAAATACTTCGGTTCCCATTTATCGTTTCGACAAGTTTTATTTGCTTGTGTTTGTCTTTTTACCCTGAATCGTTACATTGAAATTGGGCGGAATCTGCAATGTTATTTAATATGGTTATTTCTGTATTACTATTGCTTGAAGAGTGTCATTCATAACTGGTCCCTATTCATTCCCTTTACACTTCATGCTACTGCTTTCATTTTGCCAAATTCAACATTTCACTAATGTCAAGATATGCCCCTGCTCAGTGGAACTATCATCTAAACCTATAATATCCAAGACTTTCTTTTTCTTTACTTGTAGTGTTATTTCGGTGAAGATAAATTTCAATCCAATTGAGAGGATGATCTATTCAAGTTATGAAGTGATGCTGTCTCACATCCGTATGGAAATACGGCTAGATTGCATTCCCATTGCTCTATGGTATGTGTAATATTGCATTATATTGATTAGTTGCTAGTTATATTTAAGTTTTGTTCATCATCTTGGTACGACATGTGTAAATTACCTAGATCTTTGTTGTTGTTTTTTTCCCAGAAGACTGCTTATGCATCCATAATCCGGATACGGGAGGCACTAGAGCTGCCATTTTATGAATAAATTAAAGAAGACCCAACTAATATGTCTGGTGAAAAAACTTTGATTTCAAAAGACGATATGAGTGCAAATGAAGATGAAACCGTTCCTGGTGAGGATCTCGACTATCAAGATGTTTCATTTTCTGAGAGTACCTCTGTCTCTGGTGACAAAATGGATGATTTAGAGGGTAATTCTGTTAGTTCAAGTAAAACTATTTCTGTTCTGGATGGTTCCTCGACTGACGCAGCCAGAGTTGGTGTCTCAGTGATTGCAAGCACAGCAGATGCCGAAGCTTATTTATTCTCTGAGGCTAATCAGGGTGGGATCATTGATTCTGGGAATGAACTGGGTAGTCCACAGTCATCCTCATTTGCTGGTGAAATTTCGGAGCAAAAGTATATTTTAAGTTCTGAAACGTCCCAAGATGAAATTTCAACTATTCAAGATGTGAAATATGAAGAGAAAGGAGCTATCCTTGACCATGCTGGGGAAGCTAATGAGATGGAATTGAATCAGCAAGTCACTCAAATGGGGGTAATTGGGGACACTGATGGAACAGATGATTTTGAACAAAGTGGGGAAGTTAGCCGGGCTGACTTTACAAACAAAACTGGTGAGGTGATTGAAACTGAAGAAATAGGTGAAGAAGTATTTTATGAAAGTCAAGTCGCAGATGAGAGTCACATTGTCAGTGATATGCTGGATATCAAAGAAAGCCAGAGAGTTGTTGATAATTCAGAAATGGCTAAGATTCACATGGCTGACACATCTCAAGAAATCAATGAAACTCAAGAAGTTGAGCAAGATCAAGAAATTAACGATTCTGAAGCAATTGACAACACTCAATTAGTTTATGAAATTCAAGAAGGCGATGTTAGTCAAGGTGAGGATGAACTTCAGGAAGGTGATGAACTTCAAGAAGGTGGTGAATTTCAAGAAGGGGACGAAGTCCAAGAAGGTGATGAAGTTCAAGAAGGAGATGGAGTTCATGAAGGAGATGAATATCAAGAAGGCGAATTTGAAGAAGGAGATGAATTTCAGGAAGGGGAAGAAGTTCAAGAAGGGGAAGAAGTTCCAGAAGGTCAAGAAGTTCAAGAAGGGGAAGAAATTCAAGAAGAGGAAGAAATTCAAGAAGGGGAAGAAATTCAAGAAGGGGAAGAAGTTCAAGAAGAGGATGAAATTCATGAGGGTGAGGAAGTTCTTGAAAGTGAAGAAGTTCATGAAGGTGACGAAATCCAGGAAGGCGATGAGTTTCAGGATGATGGTGAGTTTCAAGAAGGTAATTCGAGTCAAGAGGAGGTTGGACTTCAAAGAGGTGATGTTAGTCAAGAAGAAGATGATAGTCAAGGTGCTGGTGACAGTCAAGATGTTCTTAAAAGTGAAGAGGTTGTTGGCATTGAACGTGAAGCAGTTGATTATGATCAGGGATCCAATGAAGGAATGGAAATCGATGAAAGGCATAATGTTGTCGAAACAATGGAAATTGATGAAAGACAAGATCGTGAGGAAACCATGGAAATTGATGAAAGCCAGGATGGTGATGAAAGTCAGGATGCTGAAGAAAATCTTGAAATTGATGAAAGTCATGAAGTGGGTGAAACCCTAGAAATTGATGAAAGTCATCAAGATGGCAGTTCTCAGCAAGTTGAATCCTCTGAAATTCCCAAACAAGAGTCCACTGTGCAAGATAACAGTGGTACTCATATTTCTCATGATACTGCTGTTGCTGTGGTTTATAAATCAAACACTGAAAGTCCATCTGACAACATTGTTCCGAAAGAGATAGCAGCAGATTCTGAAGGCAACGGCAGTGCTCTAGAGGAAGCTGTGAGTGAAAGGACTAGTGTAGTTTCTCTTGATGAATGTCAGAGGAGTGCTGCAAATGGTGAGGAAGGTGCTGGAATTTTGAATGTAGATAATGTAAATGAAGTTCAAGCTGAACTATCTGAGATGTCTACAAGACAGCTTCCAGAGAATGCCAACACCGATCAAACGTCAACTGAAGATAGGTCAGAAAATGGAACTTTAGGTGGTGGGGAGGAGGAAGAGGAAAACGACATGGTGGAAGATGGTGATGATATGGGTGAAGGTGATACAGAGGATGATGGTGACGAAGAAGATTTTGAGGATGGTGATGACATTGGTGATGAAGTAGAGGTGGAAATAGAGGACTGTTCTGACCCTGAAATGGAATCTGAAGGTGGTGTGACATATATCATTAGTGAAGGGATGATTGTTGTGGAAGAAAATGACAACTCTGAAGTATTCTCAGCTGATCAAACTGGTAAGAATGTTTCTAATTTTGTTATTGTAATATGTTTTCAACTTTGTTTAACTGCATTTGCTATTTGATCCTAATTTTGTACTTGATTTACTTTTGTTTCTAGGCGTGTCTCCTGAAGAAGAACGTGTTCAATGTGACGATCAAATTGGAAGCATGCAGAAGACTACTCGAATCATTATTAAAATGCCTGCATCAAAAAACAACACTACTGAAGAGGGAACAGAATCTGAAACCATCTGCAACAAGGCACCAGATCAAGAAGCCGATTCTTCAGATGTAGCAAAATCTTCAAATGAAAACCGCATTTCATCTGAAGAATCTCTCCTTTCGGTTTCAGAAAAGAAGTTAGAAACAGGTGACAATCTGAAAGCAAGTAGTACCTTGGTGGCTGTTGAGAAAGTTTCAGTTGGTGCATCTGTATCACGCATAGAAAAGGACCAAGTATTAAAAACTGCCAGTGTTCAATTAGTCGATTGTGTCTTACCTACAGCTGCTAAGAGTATTGCATCAAGCTCTGGAGAGAAATTGATGAAATCTGAAAAAACAAATAAGTCAAATGTTGGCCCAACTACTCGTTCTGATGAATTAACAGATTCCAATATTTCAGTTGCTTCTAAGACATCAAAATCTGATAATCTGACAGGCATTACTACCTCAGTGGCTGAAGATGTGGCCTTAAGTGAATCAGGTAAAGAGCATGTTAAAGCATCTACAAGACAACTCAAATCTGAACCAGAACCACTTAATTTGAATCATGAAAAGTCCACAAAGACTGAAAATACTGAAGGAGACAGAACAATAACAGAGTCAAAGCAGACATCTTCTGCCAAGAACAAGCAAGGGGAGAAGACATCATCAAAAAGTGCTGTGTCCTCTAAGAACAAGAATCAAGGAAAGGTTTCCAAGGTAATTGGTGGTAATAAAGTTGAGAAAGGTCAAGCTGAGCCATCGAAGGAAAGACAGACCACTGGGGGCAGGGATGCTGTAAAACATGCTGCAGTCCACTCGCACAATGCTCCAAAGCACAAAAGCAGTAAAAACAATACTGATGAAAAGACACCTGTTTCAACGAAAACTGCTAAACAAGATACTCCTAAGGATGAGCGACTTTCCAAAGTGGACTCAATCAAGAAGCAGTTGGAATCTAAAGATCTGTCGCGCTCAACCCATACTGAGGTTCAGCACAGCACTAAAGGTTCTGCCTCTTCCAAGCAGCCTGGTGCTTCTAGCCATCGAACACGGTCCAATTCTACTTCTACAAAGGATTCTTCTGTTAAAGAAAAAGATAAAAGAGGGTCTTCCAAAGATGAAGCTACTGAGAAGAAACCTCAATCAGCTGAGGAGATGTCAACCCCTAATAAGACGAATTCTGAAACCAAGGTCGCCCTACGAAGCAGCAGATCTCGTAAATCACAAGCAGATCATGCCACTTCAAGTCAGGCTCAGGAACCTGTAAAGAAAGACAAAGCTAAGGCTGCTACTGAAACCCCTACAAGACCTCGTCAAAGTGAGAGAGTATCAAAGGCGACAGAAAAAGCAATCGCCTCTGGTCTTATTTCAAGAAGATCTAAAACACTTGCTCCTGAGAATAGTAGCTCTGAAACTAATGAGAAGTCCTCCGAAAATAATTCTGAAGATCAGTCTGCATCTCGAAGAAGCAAACGCAAAGCTGATTTATCACCACCTGTCAGTAAAGAGGAAACTCCTTTGAGTAAACGTAGAACAACGAGAAGTGGAGATGCCCAGATATCAGATGAAACAACTCTCACACCTTCTCAATCTGTGAGGTCTGCGCGTAAAAGTAAAAATTTGAAGAGGAAAGCATCAAGCACTGAGTTGTAAGTGAAATTTTTCTGTACAGTATTTTTAGTTAAAAGTAATATCTAGTTTGTGTTTTTGCACTGTAATTTGTTATTGTGTTTTAGGCCTCCTGCAAAGCATCCTCATACAGAAGAGACAGCACCTAGAGACAAAGATCTAGAAGAATTTGTGGCCAATATTTCCAAAATGTGCCGTATATGTGGAACAAAGAATGACAATCTTTTGAATGTCTTTGGGCCTGAGGGGCTCACTATACAACTCTCACATAAAATTCATAACATTCTCCCAATTAAAGTAAGAAGTTTAAAAAACTGTCAGTAAGTGGCATTATTTATCATTACCCACTAATAATTTATTCTTAATTTGCAGATACGAGCAGAGGAGCCATTACCTTCAGGAGTCTGTCATCCTTGTGTTGTAACTTTAATGGCTTGTGAGAAGCTTGTAGAGAAGTGCACTAGCATTGACAAACGTCTTCGTATGCATTTTAACTGCCCCTCAGAAAAATTGCAGAAAGATAAAACTACTCAGTTTGAAGTAGCTACTTCTCAACCACCCATATGTGACAGAACAGAAAAAGTTGTCTCAGTAGTGGTGTCAGAAGTAACCGAAAAGCCTGGAGATATGTCTTCAAAATCAACTGAAATTTCTGAAAAATCTAATGAGCTGATTTCCAAATCTTCTGAGTCACCTACAACATCTACTGAGTTGCCTCTAGAACCAATTGAAGTACCTGTGAAATCTACTGAAGCATCAATTACTGCTGTAGAAAAACCACTTCCCTCACAGAAGCATGTACAACCTACCAGGACTTCGTCAAGGGTTTCAGCTAAAGACAAGCAATTAAAAAAGGTTAAGAAACCATCACATGAGCCATCAAAGCCAACAACCCGATCAACCAAAGAAATGGCATCTACTGCTAAATCTCGTTCTGTACCAAATACTGACTCTGAAGATGCCCCACCTGTCCTCGAAGCTGAGCCCCCTCAGTCGGTAGGAGCATCAAATCAAGAGCCATTAGCTCAGCCTCCAATACTTATCCCTCAGCCTGGCAAGCCTCTGCCTGGTTTGGTTCCTATCCCTGCAGATGATCCTTCTAGTGCAAAGAGGTTTGGTAATACCTATAGAGCACGTATGAAACCTGGGCAGTGGGAAAAAATTGAAAGAGGCCTGGAAGCTATCCATGGAGAAGCGCCTGAGGATGAGCAGGATGAAGCCTCATGTGATGTCAAGCCGCTCACTGGTGCTCAGGCAGAAGAGTTTCACATTGTTGATCTTGACATGAATATGGAAGATGTGCAACCTGGATCAGGACCGGCTGGTGGACAGTCAGGGATGGAATCCATTCATTTAGAAATACCATCTGACACTGCAGATGAAGAGAATGCTGCTCAACAAGCTAGTCCAAAGAGTGTCGTTGATAGCATTCTTGTCGATTGGAGTGGGGATGAGGAGGATGTTACTCCTGTGCAGAAAGGCACTGCTGTTAGTTCTGGGCGACGAGTAACTGCTGCAGCAAGTGGGAAAGATAATATCAATGGTACATCCCAGAAGATCCAAGCCCTTCCTGTACCCTGTCTTTTTGCAGATGATGAGGGTGTCGAAAGTTCATCACAAGTCAAATCAAAACCTACTCCCATCACCATTAAAGAAGAGTCATTCTGGCCGGAACCAGCTCCAGGCACCTCAGCATCAACTACAGAGGTTCCAGCTAGTGATGTTCCATGGAAGTGCTTTGTGTGTGGAAAGCGTGGAAAATCTCTACCTAAATTCCTTGAGCACAAAAAGTTGCACTTGAATGATAGAAAGTTGGTTAGTTGTCCTAAATGTAGTGAAAGTTTCAGCAATGCTGGTCTTCTGAAGAATCACATGAAGGCTTTTCATGGAGATGATGATGATGATGATGTGGTTGAGCAACAACCAAGAATTACGCGGCGAAGGGGTAGACAGGATGACGCAGTTGTGGATGTTGACTTCTCTCCTGCATCAGATGGCCTTTACCATTGCAGTTTATGTCAAAGTGCATTTACAAACATTGAAAGCTTATGCCAACATAAAATTACTCACCAGAAAACTGAAGTTGATGCTTTCAAGTGCAATGTTTGTGGGAAAATCTTTCATCGGTACAATGAATACCAACATCATTTGACAACCCATCAGCCTGGAGCACAGAACATCAATTTGTTCCAATGTGGAAAGTGTGATATGAAAATGGCAAATCAAAAAGAGTTTATTGAACACATTAATTCCCATACAACTGAGCAAACCAGCTTCACTTGTGATCAGTGTGACAAGATTTTTGACACAAAGCATAAACTGAGGAGTCACAGAAGCACTGCTCACAAGTCTACAGCATATGCCTGTCATTTATGTGACAAAGTTTGTCAAAAGAGGTGTGTCTTTGTTTTTGTTTTTCTCTTAAGAAACATCTAGACTGCTGCTGGAGTGCCAAACTTAATGTTAAATCAATTTTTATCTTGATTTTGTTTTCTTTCCAGAATAACACTGATTGAGCACTTACGTAAACATACAGGAGACAATCCATTTGCATGTCCTGTCTGTAATAAGAGATTCAATCGCCTAGCAAACTACAAGGCACACATGACAATCCATGAAAATGCTCGACGTTATGAGTGTCCATATTGTGGAAAGCGCTTTAACCGCCAAAGCATTCAGCAACGCCACATTAAGACCCACACCACAGAACAATCAAGAAAGCATCGCTGCAGAGTTTGTAATCTAACATTTGGTTTGGTAAGTAATGTCTTTTTAATAGCCATGAAACCAGCTTCGTATAAAGAAGTCAATTGTTGATATTCTTGTAGAAGGTAGAAAAGCTGTGTGTCATAGAATATTGTTTATCTGTTTTTCTTTCCTTTTCACAGGCTACTGAAATGTTTACTCACAGAAAACTTCACACTAGAGATGAAGTTGAGCGTGCTACTTGGGAGGATGAAAAACAGCGTTTGGCTCTCACTAGCTTCTCATGTAAGGTTTGTCAAATGCCATTCAATACAGTTGAAGAGGTCCTTAGACACATGCCTTCGCACACAGATGAAGAGAGAGATATTGCTGCCAAGCTTATCAATCCTAAACTTGAATGTGACATTTGTGGTAAAGTTCTGAACAGCAAAAGAACATTCAATGCCCACCGTTCCTCCCACATTGATGGGAAACCTTTTGTGTGCAAAATCTGTTCCAAAGGATATGCTACTTCCACTGGTCTCAATTATCACATGCTGTCTCACACAGGAGAAAGACCATTCCCTTGTACTTTCTGTCATAAGGGATACAAAAATAGTACAGACCTAAAAGTTCACATGCGCCAGCACACAGGTGAATTCCCTTACAAATGTAACAAGTGCAACAAAGCTTTCCGGTCGGCTTCAAGTTTACAGAAACACGGGTTTGTCCATTCAGAAGTCAGACCTTTTAAATGTAGATTTTGTAATATGTCATTTAAAAGGGAGACAACAAAGCATAATCATGAAAGAATCCACACAAATGATCGACGTTACAAGTGCAAAGTTTGTTCAAGAACCTTTATACAGAAGGGTGCTTGCGATGCACATGAAAAGTTGCACTTCAGAGGAGGCACACAGGTGTTCTTAAATGTGAGTGAAGGCTTAACAGCCCAGAGACATGGAGATAATTCAGAGAACTCTCAAGAAATGACTGCATCAACAAGCTCCAAAGCTGAGAAACATGATCTCTTTGAGGATTTTGAAGAGGAAGAATTTGAAGAGGATGATGACGATGAAGATGAGTACATAATTTATGAGGATGAAGATGGTATTGATGATGAGGAAAGAGAGGAAGAAGAAATGTTCATTGACACAGATAACTCTCAGAATTCTATTAAAACAACTGTGATCAATGTACCATTTGATGAACCATCCAAATCCAGCAATGGAGTGGTGGGTTTGCCATCAGCTAACATAACACCCATACCTGTTGCAGTGTCTGGTGATCTAATTCCAAGCATTGGCGACAGTTCTGTTCACATTACACTTCTTTAATTTTAATAATTGACACCTTTTTTCTCTATGATGTATGATTTTGACGTGAAGGTTACTTGTGTTCAATTTTGTTTACTGAAAATTTTTAAGTTACCTCTTAAAAAGGTAACTTAATAGACGGTAACATACCTTTTAGTTCTGCTGGAAAGTCCTATATAAGTGTGTATGTGTGTGCGTGTGTGTGTGCAGTTTATCTGATGTTAATCATTAATAGTGCATTTTTAGTGATTTGTGGTATACTTTTTCATTGATGTAGTGGTTTACATGATTTATTGTAAAATTTATCAAATCAAAGATCAATGCTTAATCTTAATTAATGATTGTTATTGTTTAGGGTTGTAGTCAATGTAAAAGTGTGGAGTCATAGCTGTATAATTTTAATTTTCATCTATTTTATAGAAGATATATAAAAGAATGTTCCAAGAATCTTTCTTGTATGGCAGATGCTTCCCCAGTGTTGCATCTTTCCTTTTTAAATCCGTAGACTACCCCTGACTGCCATATTTATGAGTGAATATGGAACATGGGGTCCTCAATTAAGTGAGTGTTTACCTTTTGAATTTGTAATTTTTCTCTTGCTGTTATAATTAGTGGAATATGTAATTTATCTCTGCTACTTACAGTATTGTAAGTATTTGCCCCACATTCACTAAAAACAGTGATGTACTTGACAAGTTAAAGGTTACTCACTGTCCACTAGTTTTTTTACATAGCTGTGAAATAAATGTAGTGTTTTTCAACTGACTGTTTTCTTTTCTTTTTTTTTGTGTTTGTACATAGTCAACTTTTTTTTATGCAATTTAAAGAAAATCAAAGAATATAATTTTGAAATAGCAGATATATATAATTGGTTATCAACATGTAATTTTTGTGCAATATGCCAGCTAAAAGCTAGCTTAGGTATAGTCTTACTTTACCTTAGAAGTTGAATGTCCTTTGCACTGTCTAAAGCTTTTCCCTCTTCAGACAAAAATAAACTTTACTTAGATTTATTCAATTTAATTCTTTATACCATCCCCAAGTACTTCACACAAACACTATGCATTTGTTTGTTGAATAGATTATTTCACATTGGCAGTCTAATATATAAAGATATTATTCTCTAATACAGTCAAATGCCTGTTGGCAATCCATAACTTTCAAGATGTTTCAACTTTAATTTGCTACAATAATTCAAGCTTGATAACATTGTCAGAAATATGACAATTGCTTCCATTAAATGTGTAATATGATGATGAGGCAATTAATTGTAATTCATCGCTTTGAGAAAATCATGTTTATTCGTCTAGGACTGGCATTTGCGGATCAGAATTTGCATCTTTCAAACCTGTCATTGGAGCATCTGCTAACATACCATCTTGCTCAATAACTATGGTGTGTTTATTACTCTGGAGCACAATGTCTTCACTTATTTCCTGCAAATGAAAGAAAATTATTAAAAATTGCAGAACCATCACACACTAAAATTGATGTCACAGAGTAGACCAAAATTTGTAGGACCACAAGCACAAGAAATATCTTACAGGTGAAATTTTGTGGGGTCTATAGATGAGGAAACAAATTTCAGCCTAATTTGAGACATACATACATCCAAAAGACTTAGGTTGTAATTTTGAATGTTTAATAACCTTCTTACCAATAGGTCAGGTTCGCCAATAACACAGTCCACATCTTGTTGAATCAACACCATATGTTGAACTTCCTCACACTGCAATGCATTGTCATCACCTTGAGAAACTAGAATATTGATTCTGTTTGCATCCTCTTCAGGAAAAGTCTCACTCACTTCATTCCTCCAATTTTTAATGACTGTGACTTCCATGTCATTTGCAACACCATCAGGTATTCTCATATTTTTCGGTTCTGAATGAGTCTTTTCATGCTGAGAACATGAACCCTTTTGAGTAAAACGCCTTGCACAGAATTTACATTCATATGGTTTCTCTCCTGTATGAATGCGAACATGGGTCACCAGGGTTTTTTTCCGTTTAAATGTTGCAGGGCAGTAATCACAAGAAAACATTCTCGTATCTGAATGAGTCACCAGATGGAGACGCAGACTTGCAGCAGTAATGAATCCCATGGAACAAACGCGGCATTTGTATGGCTTCTCTCCAGTATGCTTCATGTGATGAATTTTTAAACTAATTCTAGTCTTGAATCCTTCAGGACAAAGGTCACATTTGAACGGTCGTTCACCAGTGTGGGTGTACATATGATACTCGAGAGCAAACTTTGTTGAATAAACGTTTGCACATTCTTTACACTGGTACTGCGTATTGCCACTGTGTAACAGCATGTGGCGCTCATAATTCTTCTTACTGTAAACCTGTATTTTAATTTTTTTAAATGAAAGTAAAGAAAATCATACTTGACTTACTCTACAGCCTGGCAGGAAGTAAAGAACATTTACTTACCTCTTTTCCACATTCTGAACAAACAAACGCACCACCATCCACTTGGCCAGCTTTCTTAGCTTCGTCAACCTCAACTGCAGTGTGGGACTCCTGTCTATGTTGTGATAACTCTACTACACGATCAAACTTCATACCACAGACCTTGCAAGAAAATCTATCTACCTTAGAAGTCTGAAAATAAATAAAGTAAAATTTCTTTCATTGTAATTGCTCATTAATTAGTTAACATATAGCTGAGGAAAACGTACAGTTTCATTATCAAAGAGAGCTTGTTCAGCATCTTTTTCTTCTTTACTATGCATGGCTCTATGACAATGCATTTCTTCTCTGGACGAAAATTTCTCATTGCAGATTCTGAACAAAATTTTGTCAAAGTCAATGAATAGTTTCCAGTTCAAGATAGGGAGTTAGCTCCAGTTAAGGAAGGTACTTTAAAACACTAACTACGTACTTGCACTGTAGCTTGGTGTCCCCACAAAAACTCTCATGGCGCCTCAAGTTAGATGGCCTATTAAAAGTCTGGCCGCAAAGTGAACATACATACGGCTTTATACCTTCATGTGCAGCCATATGCAATCTAAATCCACTATCTGTAGAAAATTGTTTCCCACATTTTACACACATGTATGGCCTCTCTCCAGTATGTGTTCGTAGATGAATTTTCATCCGAGACCTGGAGATAGTTTTATTAAAACACAACTTAACATTTAAAAATGAAAGATTAGACATTTGAATAATTTGAATACACAAACAAGAGATACCTTAATTTGAAGTTTCTTGGACAGTGTGGGCATTGGAAAGAAGTCTGTTTATTTTTATGTTTATCTAGATGTGGTTGTAAATGTGATTGAGATCTAAAGTGAGCCCCACACACATGACATTTTACAGAATTTGTATGAGACAAAAGGTGCTCGCGAAACAATTTCACTTCTGTAAATACTTGAGGACATGTAAGACATGACAATTGTTTAGGAGTGGGAATAGTCTTGGGGAGAAAAACTGAGTGGCACAAGTGGTCTTTCAGCCATAATTCACTTTCAAAAGTTTCTTTACATCTGGTGCACTCTAATGCCTCGGAGTTTAGAAATGACAATCCAAGACGTTCTTTATGTCTGAGATTGCAATGATCAATTAACCCAACTTTGGATTTTGCCTTCATGCCACAGAATCCACAGCGCCAGTGAGCCTGGAAAGTTTTGAGGAGGAATTTTTAAAAAGAGGTTCAAGATTATGGTGCAATTAAAATTCTTGTTGACACTATACCTCTTTTTTGGCTGTTTGTTTAGTACTGTTCAGGTTCCTTTTATCATAAGTTCTTTTCCGGCTGGACGTATTTTCAGGTTGTTGATTGTTTTCTTTAAGTTTAATTAGTTCATCTTTTCCAATAGAATTCCTTTTCTGAAAGTAGTCCTCATTTTGGGCTTTGTTTTTGGTTTCTAGCAAACCAAATGAATCCTTTGCCTCAGAATGAAATTTTAAATGCTCATTGTACTTGCTTGTTTGATCAGCACTACATACAAAATCACAATTGCTACATTTTAATAGTTTGTCTGAAAGTAACACATAGATTAGAACAGTACAATCGTCTGTCAAATTGTTAAGATAATGTAAAGAACTGTTTCTCTCTTACCAGGGTGTGACTTTATCTGGTGAAGCAAAAGAGAATATGCATCACTGTCAGTGACTTCACAGTGCAGACATCGATACAACTTATGATCTTTATTTGGTTGACTATTGGCTGACTGTTCAGCATCTTCATTTGCTGCCTCACTCTCTATCAACCTAAGAGTCTCTGGTTGTTGAGCTGGCTGTTCAGTAAATTGGTCTGCTTCTCTGTACAGAGCAAATAGATTCAGTGACAGAGTGTTAAATATCAATAATCAAATCATTAGTTTTACCACTTACTTCTCCAATGAAGATTCAAAGCCAAGGGATGGATCACAGTCTTGAACTTCTGACATTTCATAATTATTTAGCTATTGAGATAGATCACAACATTGTCATCCTCAGTATAACATGAAACTGTCGATTGACTGTCTGTCAACTATCAGGCATATCAACTGACAGCCAATCAACAGTAGATCCACAAATAATATGAGCTTATTATCTATATATCAGTACATCAACTAGATCTCTTAGAGACATACCTGAGATATCCCAACAATGTTGCCTGGAAGCATTTGTTGCATTTTTTCATTAGCTTGGACACAGACTTCAACTAAAGAATGAATTGAAGACAGAGTTTCAAGGCATGCTGTGCATACTGTCACAGGAAGGAGGTCAGTAGGTGTTACCTATAAGAATCAGTCTTGTATCAATCGTGCATCAAAACAAGTGCAGTCTTATCATCCTTAAGATGTCTTACCAAAATAGGTAGATGGTTATTAAGAAGATCAACAATGCCTTTGCTTTCCCCAGCAGAATCAAAAACAGGTATTAGCACAGTGTCGGAGGAGGCACATACCCTACACATTCCTTCAAGGCGCTGCTCTTCAGTATTGAACTCGTACTCTACACAACCAACATCTAAGGTGAGAGCAAAGGAAGAATCGTGCTCCATTTCTCAAGTTCTATAATCAAAGTGGAAAGAACTGATCAACAAAATACAAAATATAAATACAAGTAAAACTTAAGTAAAATATAAGCATGGGTATGAGAGCATTCTCAATGGTCGTAGAAGATCTTCTTTGGACACCCACAAAATGAACAGAATTTATTTGACAAGAAATAGGTTACATTTGCCCATCAAGCATTTCCTTTTAGAATGAGCGCTAATGAATAAAAATTGTGGATGTCCATTTAGTCATGTACCTTTGAAATTTTATAAACAAACAAACAATTAACTGTGTTTGGTTTTGAATATTTCAAAACACAAAACAAAATTTTATGCTGCCATAACCAGACGACTCTCTCAAAAACATTTCAGATTCATATTCGTCAAACCTATCCCTGAGTACCCTGTGAAGAGACTAGTATATGCAGACATATCGTCTTTGCAATTCATAATACGTGATTAGCTCTATGCGAGGCTATACGATTGGCATGAGAAAATTTTTGTAGATGCGTTCAAAAAGTGAATATCTACTTTGATAGAGGACCGGTAGGGAAAATACCCTTAGCTCGAGGGAACAGCCTTCTTATTTCTTTGTTAGTATCACAACGTAGGTTAGATGGCGTCGCAGTACGTTCGGTTCTCGATCGATAATGTCTTGAACCCTTTCTCGATGGGGGAAAGCAGGGGAAGTCCCTGTACCAGTTTTTTCGGTGAACGGGCCGATGCGCGTGGGCTTGCCTACTCTCTCCGCCCGTATGGCACCAGCGGGCACTGCCGGCTGTAGCTACAATCGTGAAGTTACAAACAGGGACGTCCGCCTTCTTCTGCGCCTTTCGCGCCTGCACGCCAGTGCGTAGGCAACCCATCGAGCTGCCGCGTATTCGCCTGGACACCCATTCGGTAAGGCGCCATCGTCAGCGACGGTATACAATTCCCCCCCTCCCCCCTTACGCCTCTGCATGCGGCGGTACAGTATCGCCAGAAGATGGCGCAACACCCACCGCGTACAACTACAAAAGTGCCCAGGGTTAATCAGCTACCTGGTATTGTACTCTGTCAACAGTCTAAGTGATATGAGTGTTTAACTTTCTAACTGCGTCAGTTAGTTTCTTCCTCCATTTTTCTCTCTTTTAATAAAACCAGAATTTATTCTATTTTGGAGGCAATAAAGTAAATTTCCCCCAGTGTACGTTTTGATGTAATTTTTGTTTGAAGGATGTGCATATTTTGGAATT